AAACCTAAGGTAGCTAACTGACTGGATGCCCATTAACTTTATAACCTCTGGTGTGTGTGTGTGTGTGTGTGTGTGTGTATTTTGCACAGAAAGACAGCCAGGTTCATAATGGATATAAGGAAGTTTTTTCAAAAAAAGGACGGGCATTCAGGTAAAAGTAGAAGATCATGATCTGTCAATCAAGAATAATGTTGGATCAGTGTTTAAATAGTCATATATTTTATTAAATGTACACGTGGTTTGGTTATTTGCCTTTTGATTGAAAGTACACTGAGAGAAGAGTTTTTTTTTATTAGTGATGTTAATAGTATTTTTTTTATATTAATTAGTGGTGGGCATAGATTAATTTTTTAATCTAGATTAATCTCACTGTAACCTGGCTGTGATGTCAGTTGAGAAAGAGATGCTTGAGAGAGTTGACCACCAAAAAGTGATAGACAGATTTGCCAGCCACAAGGTGAGGCGACATAGGTTAAAATAAAAAAACAAATCTGCAGAGTCATAGTAGTATCTGCAGTAAAGATCTTTTCATACATTGCATACATTGTACCATAGGCACAGTTGCCGCCATCTTTATAATTTTTTTTATTAATATTTTGTACATTTGTGTATTTCACAGACTGTTCTATTTTTTGAGGGTATTTTTTATGTATCTGTATTATATTATACATACACATTAAAAGTGAATCCCTGTCCAAAAAATGCACTCCGTTTACTTTTTACTCACTATTAGCATCATTCATTACTCTCCTCCAGTAATTAAGATTAGGATATGTATTTTTTTTATTCCAATCCATTCTTCTTTTGCAGTAGTGGTCTTTTGCAGCATTTAAAAAAAACCTTTATCAAATTTGATTCCAAAAAGTGTTTTGCTTTTCTTACACAAATGTTGGAATTAAAATGTTAAAATGTACAAAACAGTCATGTCATGTTTTTTGACAAGGACCCAGGCACAGAGAAACTCTTAGGATTTAATAAAGAAATTTGCAGACTTGCACAGAGATGGTAAAATGATGACTGATGACGGAGACGAAGACAACAGACGAAAAGGACAGGGAGGAACAGGGGTTTAAATGCACAAAGGAGACAGTCAGATAGAACTCGGGACAACTGGAGACATTTAAGGATGCGGGGACTGAAAGAGGCAGGGAAAAAGTCTCATTGTGACGAGTAAAGTGTATCTTGCCTTGCTGGGCAGCTCTCTGGGTGCTCAGCACCCCCAAAGCTCTGAACCTAGAATCGCCCCTGATTTCCAGCAAGGCCTGCTTCGGATGCATCTCACAAACTTTTGGTTTATTTCCTTCAAGTACACCCACTGTTTTTCCTAGGTTTATGATAAGGCTATGTGTTGCATTGTTTGCTCTTCCGTACCTGTGAAACATTGTTTTGCTGAAAGGTTTTGATAGCGGGTGTACAGTAATATCTGCCCGTTGCGGCTGTTGGGGGGAGGGGTGATCTTATCCTCAGTTTGCATGGTGGCCACCGGTATTTTGCATGTCGAGCTAATTGCGTTACGGTAATATTTTAGGATCATGAGTGTGTCTCCGTGTGATATTGCATGCGTGTGGTTTTTGTGTTGATAATGGGGGGTTTGGGGCTGGATTAACCCAGGTTTGAAGTTGGAGTGGAGTACGTGGCAACGCCGAGGATTGGGTTACCACTCTGGACATTGTAAGCTGGATCTCCCTGCCGCTAAGTTTTAATTTTTGGAACGGAGAGTTTTGTAATGTGACAATCTGTGTATCTGAGGGTATGCATCCAGTTTTAATGGTTTTTGGGATAATCCTGTAAATAAAAGATTGTGTCCATTGCTTTTGTACCTCAGCCTCCAGCAGTTCATTTATTTCGAACATCTCCAGTGCAGGGTGACCCCTTATGGTGGGGGTTAGTTAAGGGGCAGTAATTTCCTGCTCAATTAGGAGTAGGTGGCGTAGTTGGAAGTGATGGGGGGGGGGGAGAAACATCAACTGGTTTCAGGGAGCACATTTTAACATGGCCGCTATTCCATTTTTAGTAAATACCTTATGTATAGAACATTATGGATTTGCTGACACCTACAAAAACCCTGTAAGAACAAGCATAAGGCTATATAAACTTTTTGACTAGCTGTTTCATTTTAATTTCATACATCTTACTGACTGATCCGAAAGTTAATACATTTTGATGTACAAGTTGTAGTAATTGCATGTTTGAACAAGCTCTATCCTCCTAATATTTTTTCTTCTTTACCATTATAGGCAGGGGAAAAAGTGAAATGGAGAAAAAAATACATAGATGGGCTAAGTAAGCAGTAGGAGCAAGGAGCAGAAGACAAAATAGGAAAGAAGGGAGAAGAAAACAAAGATAGAGGCGAGAAGACAGATGAGGAGAGAAAAGAAGTGGAAAGCAACAAATTTAAAGGAGGAAGAGGCTATGAATACGTTACTTATAGCCCACCAAAGGCTTTTCAACCCCAAGGAGGCAAGCGGCCTGTAAAAAAAAAAAAGTTTTTTTCGTTGTAATTCATTTATTCATAATAAACAATATTTTATCATATTGGTTTGTGATTTATTATGCTTTATTTTTTACCTAAACATTTCAGCACACAATTAAAATTAAGTGGTGATATAAGGATATTTTAAGTGCTTAAGAACTTAAAACAGTCTTAAATAACCCCTTAATTCATGAAAATTAATGGGCAAAATAAAGAATTTTAAGGGTTTATGGACCCTTATAATACTATTAAACTATCCCTTAATTTATTAGAATTAAGGGGAGATGTAAGTAATTTTAAGTAGTAAATGAACCTTACAGTACTCTTAAACTGCCCCTTAATCAGAATTAAAGGGCAATGTTATGTTGAAACAATTTTAAATTGCCCCTTAATTCATAAAAAATTAAGGGGTGAAATAAGGATTTTTTAAATGTAAATTTAAGGGGCAAATTTGAAAAAGGGGGAAATTGGCCTTAATCTGTGCACTTTTTCCTTTAATTTCTCTTAATTTCACATATAGCAGTAATTAAGGTAATTTTAAGGGGTAAAAATTAAGGGGTTTGACTTCGTAGTGCATGTTCTGAAGAGAACAGAATCCTTCAGATTATCCAAATCTCATTTATAAGTAAACAGTGTATGAGCAACTAACATCCCTCACTTTGTGTTAATATCGGCGTTACTATATCTCAGGCTTGGGAAAAGCGGTCTCCACCCCTCCCGTTATCAGAATCTTTATTCGCCGGAAAGAGCATATGCAACACTTCCCGTTTTCACAGTCTACCAATCACGCATGTTTCCGGTCGCTTTTACGATTGGCCAAATAGTGACACTACTACGCCTTTTATTGGTCGGCTGCGTGACAGTGCCGTTTCTACTATTTCGGTACTGCAGATGTG